GTTAGTGTGTGTGTGTGTGTGTGTGTGTGTGTGTGTGTGTGTGTGTGTGTGTGTGTGTGTGTGTGTGTGTGTGTGTGTGAGAGAGAGAGAGAGAGAGAGAGAGAATATACAGTCAAATCCTATTTCACCCTGCCCACCTAACCAAAATTGCCACACAAGCTGATGGTAATGCACTGCCTCCCCTACTTATCCAAACTTTGTTTTATCCAATTTTGAATGTCTCTGACAGCTTATTGGGCAAAATCTACATGTACTTATACTCACAACAGTTTAGCTACATGGTGATATAATTTATGATTGTAGTAACGGCCTTCTCTAAAGTAGGATAAAGCTTATAAGAAAAATGCACAAAAATCGCACAAGCTAACCCATAAAAGTCCAGTGCTATTTAGCTAAATATGCTTCAAATACCTGGTTGTTAAGGACAATAACAGCAAATATCTCATTAACCCAGACTCATAGAATATTTGACTACTAGTCAAAACTTCCAGTCCAATTCCTGTTGTTTCAGTCAGTGTGGCTACAGATGCAAAAGACAACAGGGCTGCCATTTTCATTGTGAAGGTTATCATTTCTACCAGAAGGACATGGAGCTCCCTCTTTAATCCCCACAAAGTGTATCTTATGAAGAATACAGCAAAATTTGCAGGAAATCCACAGTTAGATGCTAATCCTTGAAATGTTATGGTCCTCTGGATTTCTATTGTCCCAGCTAATCGGTTATTACTATGGTTCCTCTACTCACTTCAACCAGTAATGGTAAAAATAGTTCTCCACGTCCATTTATAGATATTCACTTCATAAATATATTAGTACACTAACTAACTAAATTGGGGCCTCGCCACAAGTCCTGAGTGAGGCACAGTCCCAGAAGCAGACCAGGGACCACAGTGGGGACTACAATCTGTAGAACATATTCCGTTATTTCTGCAATCATGGAATAAATGGACAAATACTGCAATCCCTATTTAGGGAAAACTCCCACCAATGCTTATGGGAGTTTTGCCTCAATAAGGCTGCCGGATTTTGCCCAAACCACAGAATGAGGCAATAAACCACATTTAATTTTTTTTTAACCTTTTGGCCTTCTCACCTGCACTCTGCCCATAAATCCATCTCAGCTGGTACTATTCCTAGTATTCCAAACCTCTCAGCACCTTTCAGACAGCCACTGTGTATTTTTAAAAAGGCCACAAAATTGTTTAATAAATTCCCCTAAAAGTCAGATTAGTGAAAAGCAAAGGTTGCAAATCACACTTTTAATAGTCAGTCCTGGACTAGTTCACAGGTTTGTTTTCTTATGACCGCCCTAGGCTAGAAATAAAGGCCCTATTAAATAGTTCCCAAACTGCGGTCTGTGTGCCACCAGTGGTCCTCTTAGCAATTGCTGGTGGGCTGTGGAGAGCTCACTGGTCACATGATGCTAACTCCCCTTTTTTTCCAGCTGCTGAAATGAATTAAAAGACAGCTAAAAATACATTACTTTCCTAATGTTATTTTTCCATGTAAGCAACTGCTGCAGTCGCCACAGGAATGTTATTTGGTCGCCAAGGGGAGGAGAAGTAGTCCAGGAGACAATCCCTCTACTAGAGGTGACCGGCAAAGGAAAATAGAAATTGGGTCTGTGCCCCTTTTTAACTTCTTTATGATGCAATAAGAGGGGGGAGGTCAGAAAGGGTGCTGCTGATTTTCCATACACACCCTCTTTCTGCTTATTTTTTATATTAGAAACTCAGATGATGACATCAAGGGAATAGTAAACTCTTGGGAGACATGTCCACACCCGCCCCCCTCCCGTGATTGTGCCTGTGCAGCTGGAGAGAACCTACACACAATAGTTTGCTGTCCATTTGGCACAGCCTACTTTGATTTCACTGGCATGCATGGTAGCCAGGGGCAGCGCCAGGGACTCCACAGGTGGGGAGGGCTTTCTGATCATGTAGGAGCTCATGCAGAGGTGCCTTCAAGATTCAGTTCAGCTTTGCAGCTTGAGAGTCCAAGCAGACGGTACAGTTCAACATCTTGAAATCCCCTATGGCACAACTTCAGTCTATCTCTTGGTAAAATTTGTTTAGTGTTTTGGGATCATTTGATAAATAGTGGTTTATAAACATCACTTCTTAGCAGAGATGGATCCAAATAAAAACCATGGGTGTAGTTTTTGGGGGGGAAGGCACTGTCTCCCCAAACTGCAAGTTTTGGGCAGGTGCAGAATTTC